ATTGAACGTTTGTAAATGTCTGTAAAGTTTCTAAAGAAAATATTTATAAAATTAATATAAAAATTATGAAAAATATTTGTTATTCAATCTTTAATTAAGTACCTTCTGATATTGAACATAACATTCTAGCCAAACCTATGTCAAGTTGTTTAGGTTCATCGATCTGTGTCTGCGAAATTTTTTGTTTTGGAAGATTACCATGGGAAGAACTTGAAAGATTATTATGTGTTGAATCAGGTGTCGATGAACGACTAACAGGTGCTGATAAAGTCACCGCTTTATTTGAAGTCGGTATAGGATTAATGGGTTTTGAAGGCAAGGTTACTGAAGTAGTAGTAGTCGAATTTACTATATATTGGGACTTCATCTTTAAAATGAAAATAATTTAATTAATTCAAGAGTCTTTGAATAAATACAAAGAACAAGAATAATAAATACATCTTCCAAAGCATCGATTTTGATTCCTAGGTTTGAATAAAATTCTTTTCTTATTATTGACCTCTTCCATTGAAAAAGTTGTTTGTCTGATTCATCAGATATTTGTTTCCATATTTCTAAACTATTGTAAATATTCAAGTTAGAATATAATATATATATATATATATATATATATAAGATAGCAAATGAAAATAACCTTGTTGGTGTAATAAATACAGATGCCAATCCTTTATCACCAGACACATTTGTTGAATGTTCATTAAATGGGGTGGTATTCGTTACTGGAAATATGTTATCTAATACTTGGCACAAGGCTTCAGTCAAGGATTTGTTGTCCATTGAATCGAAATTTAAATTATTCTAATCATTATTAATAAGCTTTCAATTTAAAAGTGTAAACCTGAAAAAAAACAAGTTATACACCTACTAAAGTTGAGCCACTAGATTGTTCAGGTAAATCTGTTGCAGGCTCAAATGTAGCGTCTTCGAACTCTGCAAACTCATCATTACTTCCATCTAAATCGGGATTATTTTCTGTAGTTCCCTCAGTAAAATCTTCAAAGCTATCCACAAAATTATCAACGTCTTCGCCAGATGCTCCAATGTTTGGAAAATTGTCCATTTTATCAACCGGTTATGATAATTTATAAACTTGAACGTGGTATAGAACTAACGAGTCTTCTCTTATATCACGTCGAGTTATAGTTTTTACTAAATATACTGGTAACAAACCAACAAAAGTGTGATATTAAAAAATTTAACTTTCGATAATCTGCTTATCATTACCGTATTGGTATTAGGGTATGACACGGGAAATTTTTTAGGCATGCACTTAGAGCGGGAGGCATGCCAGATATGTAACATTAATAGAGGTGAGTAAATTCGGGAAATTCTATTTTCACCCGGGTTAAAGTCACCCAAACTATTACTAATACGTGAAAATGAAAATGTGAAAATAGAATTTCCCATTTTTAATTTTGTCTATTTTAAGTCTTGTACGTACGCACGTACATTCAGACTTACAATTTATATATTGTATGTCTGAATGGAATTTGTATTGCTTACCGCAAAATATTATTAATTGCGACTTTTATAGCACAATTTTGCTACGTATTTAAAATTCATCTACATCAAATATAGTTCCAATTACGTACGTACTAAATTATCAAATATCCAAATTTAAAATTATTTTCTTTATATATTATTTAATATTCATTACTGTTAAGATTAGCATACACATTAGGGTTAGTTGCGATTCATTTAGAAAAAGTTATTGTTAAAATACAGTACTAAACATAGTTTTCTATACACATTCTTGAAAAATAAACGACTTAGACAAAACAAATGTTATTTTGAATCTTTCTGATTACATTTGATCTTAAAAATTGATTTGTATTTCAGAAATCTATGTCACGAACTTGGTATATTATTTAATGAGTTTTTTGCAATTGATACAATATGATAAAGTTCCATAATCACAATCGTGAATCTTGTTAATAATCATTGCATACAAGATTTATATTCGATGAGAACTATCTGTATAAGAAAACTGGAAACTCTTCACATTTTTCATGTATAAAATATTTTTATTAAGGACCAAAATATCAAATACACTAATTCGAGTCATTAACTGAAATAATAAACTCTGTTCATTGAAATTTTTTCTTAACTCAAACTACTAAACACATGATTCATCTTATGACAAGCATGTTTGATCGGTTAAAAATACTTTTTGCTAATTAAAAATTTAATTCCCAACACACTTCCTACACATTTTGGCACATTGATCGAGGCGATTAAGATCACCTATAATTGTCCGAAGGACATACTGTTTGGACAAAGGGTCAGAAAGGTTACACGATGTCCGTCTGTTAGCAAATACTCGAATTTGATTGGTTATACTATGAAAATCACATGGTTTTGCGAATTGTGTGCCAGGTTTTACTATATTTCTTGTTAATATTTAACCTTAAATACAAATTCTAACCTTAACATCAATGAATTTTAAAGAATTTTGCACATTTCGGACGTGCTATCGGCAACATGCATAACCTGGCACGTGCCATGGTTTTTAATATGAATAATAGTCCTTCGGACTTTCAATGATTTTCATTAACCTAGTCTACTTTAACTGCTATCACTTCGATCATATGTTAACATTTAATTCAAAATCAAGTTACTAAATTTTAAAATTAATGATTTATTACATTACAATAATTCAATTCTAACATATAAACAAAACTTTTAAAAAAAACTACTTACGAACTTATAATTTATTTTTACTTCGTGCGCACCTAATCTTATATAATATTGTAATAAACCCTTTTATATCAACCTCAAAAATTTCAAATTTTATAGCTTTTCAGTATAAAAAACATTATCTCCTTAGTAAAACAAACTTTCTGTAATATATTTTCTTTTTTTA